TGTCGAGACTTCAGTCCCCGAAGGTGCCCTTCGAGTTCGACGATGCAGCCCGTGGCGCGTTCACTACGTTGAAGGCAGCGATGCAAGCCGCACCTACCCTCCGTATGTACGACCCCACCCTACCCACCCAAGTGACTACGGACGCTTCGGGATACGATATTGGTGCGGTGTTGGAACAGTGTCACGAGGACGGTTGGCATCCGGTTGAGTATTTCTCCCAAAAGGTGCCTCTCGTCAACACTCTCGACGACGCGAGGAAGAAAGAGCTACTCGCGTTCGTCACCGTTCTCAAACGGTGGCGCCACTTTCTTCTCGGCCGTCGGCGTTTCAAATGGAATACGGACAACAATCCGTCGACCTTTAATAAAACGCAAGACACGATCACTAGCACGATCGGTCGATGGATGTATTACATCGACTAGTTCGATTTTGACCCGTGTCACATTCCCGGTCCCGCCAATCAAGCTGCGGACGCCCTCTCACGACGGCCCGACTTTTGTGCCATTGTGACCACGGCATTATACCTCGATGACGATCTGCAGCCGCATTTCGTCAAAGGCTACAAGTCCGATCCGACTTACTCTAAGCTTTACGCGGAGCTTTCATCGGATCACCCGCCGGCTAGCCACTATCGGATTTCCGACGGGTTCCTTCTCCTTMACACGAGAGGAAATGACTTGTTAGTTGTGCCCCAAGATCGCATCTTACGGACTCGTCTTCTCGGCGAATTCCACGACGCACGACTTTTGGCACACCTTGGCGTGAACCGCACATTAGCACGCCTCCACCAGCGTTTTCACTGGCCCGACGTCCTTCACGACGTCACGAGGTACATTGAGTCATGTGCAGTTTGCCCCTGAAACAAGGGTCGATCTCGAGTCCCCTTCGGCGAACTGAAACCGTTGCCGATTCCTCGGGCACCACGCCTCTCCATTGCTATGGACGTGACAGGCCCGTTTCCCCGTGATCGCCACGACGATGACGGTATTCTCACGATCGTTGACCGTTTGAGCAAGTATGCTCGCTTCCTTCCTTGCAAGTATCATGCTGCAACACCTGAGCTTGCACGACTCTTGCACACCGGTTGGATTACCAACCAGGGTGTTCCAGAAGATATAGTGAGCGACCGAGATACTCGTTTCATGTCGACCTTTTGGACTTCTCTCATGACTGAGTCCGGCACGACAATGAAGCCGAGCTCGGCTCGGCACCCGCAAACGGATGGTCAGACGGAGCGAGCGCACCAGACCGCTCAGATGATGTTGCGTATGCTCATCCGTCCCGACCAGAAAGATTGGGTTGACCGGCTTCCCGACATCGAGTTCGCCTACAACACTTCCGTGCACCCGACGATCTACGTCACACCATTCGAGCTACATCATGGTGGAGAGAAAGCACGGATCTTCGCTGATCTCCTTTTGCCACAGGCTGCCGACATAGACGTC